CTATGATCATCTATATGATCATCAATCACACATCATACTAGTCTTATTATGTCATCATTCCCATAATGACACAAGACTAGAGAGTTAAGTATCATTCATAATGATACATGGATTTCATAACACATCTAGTATGCAAGAACATATAATGAATCAAATACTCTCATGAACCATAGAAAGTATCAATACATCAAATGTATCTAAATAAAGCTCATAAACAGTACATCATAGAGCACTAAACCAACACAAGGGAATATCTGGCAGTTTGTACGAGGCTGCATGCCCCCGCCACTTCCACCGCCTGCTGCTCCACCTGCGGCAAGGCCGGAGGGAGGTTTGCCACCACCACCACCGATGCCTGCACCTCCGAGGATTCCATAGCAAGTCGTAGTAGACTACTTTTCATTTTTCAAGGAACTTCGAGCCTTGGGCACTCCGAAGTTTGAGGGTTCTCTTAGCCCGGAGGCAGCTGAAGACTGGATCATCAAGATCACTCACCATTTCAACTACATCTGGTTAGAGAGCCATCATTTGGCTGACGCGGCTCGCCACTGGTGGGAGGAAGTTGTACGTGAGGCTCCCGTAGGACACCAATTCTCGTGGGAAGAGTTCCGGGCAGAGTTTGAGCAGAAGTACTATCGGAGGCAAGATCAGGGCCACCGTATTGTGGAATTCCTTCATCTTGAACAGGGTAACCTGACTGTTCGAGAGTACTAAGCGGAATTCAACCGGCTGCTAAAGTATGGAGGTCACCTAGTGCCAACCGAGGAGTATAAGATCCAGAAACTCATTGTTGGGTTACGTCCTTCTCCCAGGAGGAGAATCGAGTGCCATGAGTACCCTACGTTGAGTCAGTACATCAACCAACTCGACAAGGTGGAACGGAGTGAGAAAGAGAAGATGGACGCCAAGATACATGACCGTGGTCCATACAGGTGAGTGCCTATCAACCGTTCTCCAGTGAGAGTTGGGCAGACGAGTCAACCCGTGACAAGGGGAATGCTCCAGCATTTCGTCCCACGATCCCGAACCAACCACTACACTATATATAGGAGGCCATGCGCTAAGTGTGGTCGAGACCATACTGGACCTTGTGGCTACACCATGACATGCTACCGTTGCGGTCAACCGGGGCATTTTGCTGCTAGATGCACTACGAACATAGCTCCTCAAGCCAACAACAAGCCACCGCGCCCAGCACAGAAGAGATCGGATATTGCTCCGAGAGTTTATGCTCTCACAGCTGAGGAAGATGCTCAGGAGGAGTCATACACAGTGGAGGAGCCGTTTGATGCAGAGCCGTTGACTACCTACGAGGCTACTGATAAAGATTATATGGAGGAGGCTGACGTTGCCGCTATCACACGTACCATTTGCATACATGATGTTGCATGCATCACTTTGTTTGACACAGGAGCTACACATAGCTTCTTGAGTGAGAAAAAGGCAGGAGAGTTGTCAATCATGGAGATCGATACGACTACACATTTTATGGTGTGTACAACTCCGCGACAGACTCTTCCAGTACCGGAGATTTTACATTGCATGCCCTTTACTATATGTGGGAGCATGTTGACTGCAGATCTTATCGTCGTACCTATATGGGGTTACGACTTAATATTGGGAATGGATTGGTTGTCGAAGCATCAAGCCCAGATTGCCTGCCGCCAACAAACTATTTGGTTCACTGAAGAGAGCGGAGGATTTGAGTTCATTGGAAACCGGTCACAAAAAGTGTATCCAATTATATCAGCTCTGAAGGCTAACAGGATGATCGAGAAAGAGAATGAAGCCTTCCTAGTTGTAATCACAGAACCGGAAAAGCAGAAGCAAAGCTGGAAGACACTGTTGTGGTTCGGGAATTCCCCGATGTGTTTCCTAATGAAATACCTAGACTACCACCAGAACGGGAGGTAGTTTTCTCCATTGAGATTGTGCTAGGAACGGAGCCAATATCTAAGACTCTCTATCAGATGGCTCCGACCGAGATGGTAGAACTGAAAAAGCAGCTGAACGAACTAATGGAGACAGGATTTATCCGACCGAGTGTATCGCCGTGGAGAGTACCGGTGTTATTTGTGAAGAAGAAAGATGGTAGTATGCGACTCTGCATTGACTACCGAGGCCTTAATCAAGTGAGCATCAAGAATCGGTACCCCTTACCGAGAATTGATTAGCTGCTTGACCAGTTGCAAGGAGCGAAATAGTTTTCAAAGATCGATTTGCGCTCTGGCTATTACCAGATCCGAGTGAAGGCTGGGGATATTCAGAAGACTGTTTTTCGAACGCGATACGGCCATTTTGAATTTGTAGTCATGCCATTTGGATTGGCGAATGCTCCAGCGGTGAGTTTGTCATAATCTTCATCGATGATGTCTTGATCTATTCACCGGACCAACAGACTCATGAAGAACACTTGCGGAAGATTTTATGGCGATTGCAGCAAGTGTGGGTTTTGTTTGCAAGAAATTGGATTCCTTGGTCACGTCGTTTCGGCGCAAGGTATCCAAGTTGATCCGACAAAGATCGAGGCAGTAATGGATTGGAAGAGCCCACCAACGCGACCGAAATTCGAAGTTTTTTAGGTTTAGCAGACTATTACCGTCGTTTCGTTGAGGGATTCGCTAAACTGGCAAAGCCAATGACGAAGTTGTTGGGTTCCCTTCGGGTTCCTAGCATGCGATCTCATCGATCTAGGGTTTGGATTCTAGGTTTCACGCAGCGGAAGGAAAGATCTAAACCTAGCCAAACGTCACACAAAACCAATTGTGCAATAACCCGAACAATCGTGTATATCGTCGTGGGATTCGAATACTTACCTCGTTCTTTCAAGATCTGGAAGTATCAATCGATCCAGGGCCTGTTTTAATCACCGAGAGTTGAAAGCACAACTCCTCTACACGTATCCACACCGGCGGGATGAATTCCAACACTTTGGAACGTATCTGCTAGGATTTATGAAGAGAAAACCGATGTCCTTGACTTGAAATCGATATTCCAATCTCTATAACTCAAAATCAAGCTTCTCTAAGCTCTCATCAGAATCTAGGACGTCTGAGGTTCTTACTCTAGGGTTTGTGGCGGCTCACCCATTAATTAGAATTGCCCAAAACCCTTAAAACGCGAAAAAGGAAACTTTCCCCGAAAGTCGGACCGTCCGGTCTAAGTCTTGGACCGGACGGTCTGGCTTTCCACGCGGAACGGACGTT